ACGACTCGTTGTCCTAAGTTTTTTTCAGGGGAATTTCCCACTTTACGGTGTATATCTGTAACTCGCACATAAATCCGCTTGAATCTGCTCTAAGCCATACTTTGTAGTCACGTTTTATAAGTTTATTCTGCATGTACTGTTGGATACTACTTCGACCTTTGAATAGTATTATAGACTTATCAATCGCTTGAAACTCATGTGGATTCAGTGCTGCAAGAAACGTTTTCGTGAGTTTGGCCAGTAGAGTTTGTAAAGTTTGACAAATCCAAGATCAGTTTTTTTTGGCTGCACTGGATTATGAACCAGATGTAAATACCGTGAAAGGGTCTCGTAATTCATCACGTGACGACCAATAATCTCTGTCACTGGGAATTTCCTTTATACCCATTTACTCCAAGAAATGTTTGACTTCGTCTTCTGTGGTAGGTATAAATCCATTTTCTTCTCCGTGTTTTGAATGTAATATAGATTGGTTTTCGTCCTACGGAAGAAAAGGAGGATAATGAAAAAGATAAATTCTATGACACCTTAGACAAAGAATATGATCGATGTCCACGTCATGACGTGAAAATCATTGCTGGGGACCTTAATGCAAAAATTGGCAAAGAGCAATTTTTCCAGGGAATTATAGGACGTGAGAGCTTACATGAAGAGTCAAATGATACGGGTTGAGACTAATAAACTTTGCAAGTACTAAAAACATGATAGTAGGAGGAACAAGATTTCCCCATAAAATGATACACAAAGGAACATGGAAATCCCCTGATAACGAAACCATTAACCAGATAGATCACATCCTGATAGATGCAAGGCACTCTTCCGATCTCATAGACGTCAGAAGCTACCGAGGCCCAAACATTGACAGTGACCACTTTCTTGTAATGGCAAAAATCAGAGGAAGAATATCAAACCTAAAGAAAGATAAACACACGAAACAAGACAGAATTAATGTTGATAATCTGCGCATTGAAACCGTTGCGAGAGAGTATAGGAGACAAATGGACGAGGAAATGGAGAGCCTGGAGGTGGGGGAAAATGTAGAGGAACTGTGGACAAAATGTAAAAACATAATAACTGAGAAAGCAACAAAAATATTGGGGAAAACCAAACCAGTTAAAGAAAACGAATGGTTTGACAAGGAGTGCCAAGAAGCAACAGATAACAAAAACAGGGCATACCTAAAGACAAATCAAGCTGGATGCACAAGAAGAGCAAAGGAAGAATACCGGACACTAAGAAGAGAAGAAAAACGATTACATAGAAGAAAAAAAAGACAATTTGAGCAAAAGCAATTGGAAAGCACAGAATGGCTAAGAAATCAAAATGAAACTCGAAAGTTCTACAGAAATCTAAACAAAATGCGCAAAGAGTTTAAGCCAAGAATAAGGAGCTGTAAGGATGTAGAAGGAAACATCCTAAATGATACGGCCTCAATCCTAAACAGATGGGTTGAATTTTTCGATGCAAAATTTAATGGCCATCATATCGAAGAAGCAGATAACACCCTAGCAAATCGAAATGATTGGAATCCTTTCAACCCAAACGAAAGACCACCTACCATCGAAAACGTTGCCCAAGCCATTAAAAAGCTTAAAAATAATAAATCACCAGGAGTTGATCAAATTTGCAGTGAGCTCTACAAGAATGGTGGCGATGCCCTACTACAGACACTGCATAAGCTTTTACTTCTTGTTTGGCATAATGAGACCATGCCTTGTGAATGGTCTCAAGGCGTGATATGCCCGTTACATAAAAAAGGTGACCAGCTCCAGTGTGACAACTATAGAGGTATAACCCTGTTAACAACTGCTTACAAAATACTAGCAAATATTCTCTACGAAAGGTTGCAAGTTTACACAGTGGGCATAGTTGGTAAATATCAAGTTGGATTCACTCCAGAAAAATCAACAATTGACCAGATTCATTCAATAAGACAGATTCTCGAGAAAACATTAGAATTCAATATTGAAACCCATCACCTATTCGTCGACTTCAAGGCCGCATACGACAGTGTCAAGAGAACAGTGCTATACCAATCAATGCATGAGTTTGGTATACCAGAGAAACTTATCCGACTAACGAGAATGACAATGTCTAACTTAGAAGCCACTGTTAGAATACAGGGAGAGAGTTCTAGATCCTTTGAGATAAAGGATGGACTCAGACAAGGAGATGCTCTGGCTTGCCTCCTATTTAATATTGCCTTAGAAAAGGCAGTCCGAGATACACGAATTAGGGATGGCGGTACTATTTACAATAGATCGATACAAGTCTTAGCATATGCTGATGACATTGACATAGTAGGGCGTAGCAAGCGAGATGTTGAGCAATATCTCCTAGAATTGGAAACAGCGGCGAAACAGGTCGGTCTAGTCATCAACGAAGACAAAACCAAGTACATGTTGGTTACAAAGGATCCGATAGCAAATGAGGAACGAGAAACAGTCTTTGGAAGTCATACCTTTGGACGTGTTGACAACTTCACATACCTTGGGTCGCTATTGACTGCTACCAATAAAACAAGCGAAGAAATCAAAAGACGAATAAATCTTACAAATAGGGCATACTATGGACTCCAAAAGCATTTCCACTCAAGAAACATTCAAAGAAGAACTAAAATTATTATATACAAAACATTGCTGAGGCCGGTCCTCACATATGGAGCAGAAACATGGACTCTAACGCAGAAAGATGAAAGACTTTTGGGAATATTTGAGCGTAAAATACTCCGCAAAATATTTGGAGCTGTAAACGACCAAGGGCAGTGGCGCAGAAGATATAATTTTGAATTGTATCAGCTCTTTGATGAGCCAGATGTCATAACGTTCATTAAAACACAGCGACTTAGATGGGCTGGACACATAATACGAATGCCAGAAAATACCATTGCTAAAAAGCTAACCACAGGAACACCTGTAGGAAAACCGAAACAGCCAAAAACCAAACAGAATGGCGACGAATCTTAGAGCAGGCCAAGATCCACAGAGGATTGTCGAACCAAAGATGATGATGATGATAGATTGGTTTGAAATACCATTAGGTGAATTAGATCCTCAGAAAACAGTTTCAAAAAACATCTGTGTTGTTATCTGTCGAATTTGGAATGTTTGGGCCTGTAGTTTCAATAAATTGATTTGTCTGTGTTAAATTTCATTTTGGGTCCAAAATATAGAGTTATCTTGCTTTGCTAGCCGTACTGCTAGCGGTAGAGATAACATAACGTCTCAAAAAACGAACGATTTCCCAAGTGGAAATTGAAACGTCAATAAACGTATTTTAACCTTTAATTGTGGCTTATTTCCATTTAAATAGTAACTATTTTTTCCGATCACCAAATTCGCAAACAATATTTTTTTAGGACAAACAAACTTTCAAAAGAGTTAAAAATTGAATTTTTAAAATAATAAACTTCTTGCATGAAAGGGTCGTTCTTTTCACCTCCAGAGAAATATTATCTGGAGGATAGATCTTTATTTATAGGATAAAATTTACCTGTTTTTTACGTCAAATTATGTTGCGGTTACTTATCTGTAAGATAAACGAACAATTTATTTTGGAACACATGTTTTAATATCTCTTCTGGTTATACAATTTGTGGTGGCAGGAATAAATTAAATTATATAAAGAAAAATTTAATAACGAATAAAAAAAATGATACATTTATATTGATGATTCTGTTGACGTCTCTTCATAACAATAAAATATTATATGAGGTTAGCTCAAACATCTATAACTTCAGAAAGTTCAATAATGTTTTCATTTAACAATTCATCTTCAAAATTATCATTTTGATCTCTCGCTAGGTTATACTCGTAGAATGTTGCTGTAGATTAGAATGGTTGAGTCTTTTCAACTGAACACTAACCTTCTCAGTCAGTCTATAAGAAAAATGTATAACTTTCTGAAGCCAGATCTATTGATACCCCTTTCTCAACTCCTTAAGTTATTTGTTAATGCTAATTGCAATTAGTTCTTCTTGTATTATGACATACATTTCCGTAATCTCACAATATGGATTGATAATTCACAAAGGTATTTCCATAATCAGAATATCTTCAAACCTGGTAGTAAACTCTGTGCGAATGACATGTAAATGGTTGAATGTAGACTAAAACGTCATCATCCTGGGCCTGTTAGCAATGGCAAGTGGGGAAACTGACAAAATTCGCGGTTGTCCAATGTTAATTTACTATGAAATTTAGTAAAATCCATCCAATCCATGAAATTTAGTAAAAAATCTATTAAATAAGCAATGTCTGGTTTCCACCTGATTAAGTTTTCTTTCAAATAGCGATCATTAGTACCCAAACATAATAAAACACTTCTATTAAGTGAATAAAATCTTACCAAATCTAATTCTTTCGCCAGCGAGCGCACTTCACTGTGAAGGATTACATTTTTAGTTACTAAACGTTGTCGATGAATGACGCAATGAATTATTGTAGACATCCCGGGTTTCTTTTTGTTATTACTTCTCTTTTAGGCACTCATGAAAGACGGTTATTTTGATTGTGTGTTTTCAAACAAATGTTCTTCTTTAATTTCTTTCCAACATAATGTAGCAAACTTAACAACTTTAACTAATGTAACAAATTTAAATCTTAAGATAAATATATGATGACTAAAAATGAATTGATGGAAAGTAGTTAATCGATTTGAAGACTATAGAAAAAGTAATACAACACCAGTGTAGAAGCGTCGCTTCAAAAAACAAGATGGGGAGAAGGGAGACAAAAAGTTAAAAGGATACATCTCTATAATTGGGACACATATAATGGCTGCTAGTAATTGTAAGATGTATTTGATCCTAATCTAGTGGTAATGTTCAAGTAACCCCCTGAATATTCAATCACATTGATATGTATCTTTTTGTACTTTTCTCAAAAATCATCAGAATACTGTAAAAGTTACAATGTTTTCACCCTATCATACAAATTCAATATTCAACTATCGATTTCAAGGGAACTGTTTAATGTATGTACATATTATTTCCTTTTCAGATATGGAAGAGACTTAATGATCACGGCAGAAACTGGCGTCACGTTTACAAAGCTCTAGTTCTTTTAGAATACCTAATTAAAACAGGATCCGAAAAAGTAGGTCAGCAATGCAAAGAAAACATATTTGCCATTCAAACGCTAAAGGATTTTCAATACTTGGAAGAAGGTTAGTACGATTTTTTTTATAGAGTTAATTACTGTTTTATTACAAAGGTGTTGATTATGATGCAATTTTAATTGTTGATGAACTTTTGTTACTTAAAAACAGTATTTCTTCCCGTGATGGTTAATTTTATGTATAATATTTAAATAAATACAAAACTTAAAAAGAGCTCGAAGGGTTTTACATAATATACGAGGTTAGTCCATGAAATAAGGTCTATATTTTCTTCACATAGATAATTTTATTTAGAAATAATGATACTCACTAGGTACTAGTTTGGAGGACCAAATTTGGAGGAGACAGATGGTCATCCGGGCATATAATTAAAAACTACCACTTTAAACTGAATTCTTTTGTTTTGTATTACATAACAGAGTTTTGTCAACGTCTCACTGTTCTGATATGAAATTTTTTCTACAGCAATCGTACTGCCATGAATTGGCTTATTGTACATATTCTTTAAGTTGCATTACTATGATGGCTTGCTACAGAACCTTGATTGGGCTACATTAAGTCCATGAAAGGAGTCGCCATAGGTCGCTGGTTCATATCCGGGTCAAAGGACCAATGGACAATTAATTTCGAATTGTTTCTAATGCCCTGTGTCAAATTCTTCTCGATCGACAATGATAAAATAAAATGTTGAAGTAAAATAAGTTTTATTGACAGCTACTGAATTATTAAATTATAGTTGTTGTTGAGGTAAACATTTATAATATACTGCGTCCCAAACTAGTTCCGAAGCTATATTTATAATCTCACTATAATGTTACGATTTATCAAATAAGTGTATGCCCTCTGCATAGAACAAAAACCTTTGACTTTTGAAAGCTAAATGATTGCAATCATTTCCTCGATAACTATTAGGCAATCTATAGTTTGCAGGAAGTTGAACAAACTGTAATGAAGCTACTAATCGATATGTTTCACAATTATACACGGTGAAACTATACATATTAAAGAAATTGAGATTAATGTGAGATTACAAGTTAATGGACCAATTTGTGATTGAACAGTCACTCTGTCCGTTTTCTTTATATTTTATTTGTAAACTCAAAAGTCCCACTAATTTTTGAGTCCTCTTCTGGGTGATCTCTTTTTGTCTCATGTTTATTTTGATTCCACGAATTGGGATGAAATGCTGTCAATCACGGCAGTGCATCCATAGCGTGTCAAAGTTATAGTCCCCGGAGTTTGTCAGCTCCTTGGAACAACGCTTAAGCAAAACTTTTCCCACTGTGCCAATCATCAGCTGGCACCATCATGTACATTGAAATTGTGTCTATGTGTGAGTGTTTGTAATTTTAAATAAAGAAATATCTAGTTGATCACTGCAGCTCTTATGTTATGTTTTTAGTTGATCTACGGGTGTTTATTTGGTTATATCTTTTTAACACCTGTTCAATGTTCCTATATATCCATAGGAAGTTCCTTATTAACCATTGGGGCTCGCTGCGTTGAGTACCGGGTAGCTTAGATTCATGGTTTCAGATCGACACAGTCCAAGAAGGGTTTATTGTAGTCCCAGCACTCACAAATTTAAACAACAATATCAGTTTCGTTATCACTATCACGGAAAAGCGCCGTTTTCGACTTTGGCGAATTTATATATATCAATTTTTCCAAAATTCGCCCTTTTTGCGAGACAATGAAGGGATTCGATGAAGAGCTTTAACTGCTTTAACAAGTTGTCATTATATATAACAATAAAACACTAAAAACTTCCACAAAATTTATAATATTCTATCACTACAGTTGTTTCGGAAGAGTGCCTTTCTCAAGTAATCTATTTTTGGTATGTGTTTCCACTTAATAGTCTTTAACTAAATAGTTTGAGGAGAGGAGAACTGTTTGTCTTAAGTTTGTCATTCAGAATTGTCTGTATTTTTTAATTTGTTAATTTCCATAGATTCTAATAAAGATAGCTTAAGGCCTTTATTTCGGATGTGAAGAATTTGAAATTCGTCATTAAAAGAATGATAATGGCCTAGAAGATAAAGTGCGTACGTAGAATATGTTTTTCTTTCTATTATTGAAATCCCTTTTATGTTCTGCTAAACATTTTTTAAAAGTTCTACCAGTTTGACCGATGTAAGTTTTTGGGCCATCGCCACATTTAAGTTTGTATACACCACTGTATAAGTGCCTTTTCTTTCAACTATTGTTGTTTTTAATATATTTGCGTAAGTTGTTGTTTGTTCTAAAAGCTGGTATTATTCCTTTCTTTTTTATATGTTTGGCTATTTTAGTTGATATCTTGCCGATGTGTGTAGTCGAGCAGAAGGTACTCGATTTTTCTCTGGTTTTGGAAATACTAATTTCAGGGATTTCTTATGTATTTTTTGATTTAAAAGTTGTCATTTGTATCTCCTTTTAGCGTTTCAGGGAACCATCTCGTACACAGCTACAGATAGTAGTACTGCAGCTGACACTAACATTAGATTCGTCTGGTATGGGAGGAGAGAGCATGTTCTGGTTACGCGGAGTAGGAGTAGGTGTCCGAGAGAAGGATTATGGTGGAAAAGGATAACATCGTGGACGTGACGGCCGGGGTACTTCAGGGATCTGTCTTGGGTCCGACGCTATCGAACCTGGCGTATGACAGGGTTATGCACTACGAATACGGAGAGGCTACAACCCCTTTTGCATTAGAGGATGACCTCGCTGTACTGCTTTTGGCCCGTGATGAGCCAGATCTCAAATACCGGGTTCGGAACGCAGGCCGCGTCGTAAAGAAATGGATGACGCAGCACGGACTGAAACTTGGAAAGGCTTACACAGATGAATGCCTATACTGTGGATACTCGGACACTGTGACACTTACCATGTTAGATTGCAGCAGAGTGGTTCAGCGGCTAAGATACTGGCTTTTTATTCAGAACGCATGAGTTCGATTCTCGACTCCTATAAATTATACGAGCCGTCAATTTGAGTCATCATGAGTATCCTCATTTTTTAATAGTAAAACAATCCTTTAATGAATTAAAATAAGGTTGCGTTTCGTCAATTTCTTACTAAAATTTTTGCATAAATCCATTTTGTAAGTTTTGATTACCTTTTTTCTTCGTTTCAGGTAAAGATCAAGGACAAAACGTGAGAGAAAAAGCAAAACAATTGGTTATATTATTAAAAGACGACGAAAGACTGAAAAATGAACGAGCGCGAGCATTAAAAGCCAAAGAGCGATTCGCGCAAAGTGCTAGCGCTTTCGGCAGTGATGGGATGGAAACACCTAGCAGTCCAAAATATCCAGCTTTCAGAGGTGACTGGGGATCCAGAGACGCAGGTAAGATGACTTCCATTCAGTTTTTAGGAAAATTATTCGTTTGCTTCTTTTTCCTAATCCTAGGTTAATCCCTTAAGGGGACAGTCTCATGCGATTAAAAAAAAAGACGTATTTTAAAATTAAAGCAGAAAAAAAAACTATAATATTTATTAACATAATTCCTTTTGGAGATGATTAAGTAAGTCTTGAAGTACATAATAAAAATTTTTAATAGCGATTTTAACTTCATTGGTGTCCTGTAGATGGCGTGTAGTAAAAAGTGCGTTTTTGGTGGTAAGACACTTTGTGGGTCACCTATAACAGATATTCAAAAAATTCAAAATGGGTTGTATTCGTGAGACTCAAAACTAGATGATAAACCTTTAAAATATGTAAATTGTATTATTTTGAAGAGTTTATACGAATTTTTTCAAAAAAGTCGAAAAATCACTATATTTTTCGGTGGATTTACCCATATATAATAAAAAGGGGGTGGTTTTTAAATATTTTAAAGGTTTATCATCTAGTATTTTGTATATACATTCGAAAAATTTTTGGTTTTTTAAAATCGGTTAAGAAGGTTCGGAGAAAAGTGTCTGACCAGTTTGAAAATGTTACTTTTGAGAAAAAAGCATTTAAAGTTTTTTTTACATAATTTTCGTGAATAAAAGGCTGATAACTTTATACTCACGTTTAATCGGCCATTCCTGGTGAATATTGAGGACCGTCTTCATCCAACAGTTGTTGTAAATGGCTTTGTAAAGCTGTAAATTTCAATACAACGTCGCGATGTTTTATAATTAATTCATTTGTTTGACTGGAGTCTCACTCTTAATTCACGCCGCGATGCTTCCAGTGTGTAAGTGTAAAAACGGAACACACCTAGATCGCATGTCAATTCAACGAAAACGTACTTATTTATAAATGTAGATATGAAAATATTTTATAACTAAAAAAATGGTTATGTTTTATTGCCAAAACGGCTTGAAAAAAAGTTGATTTCTAAAATTAAAAATAAAAAGGAATTTTAAAAATAAAATAATTATATTACACTCTTTTTAATTTGAAATTATAAACAATATTTGGATTAATAAATGTATTTAAGTATAAATTTTATAACTCAAATAATACCTAATGAACACAAACAAAATTGATGTTAATAAAACATTATTTATTATCTGCACAAAACCGGACTTTCAGGAAAAATCGGTAGACGGAGCAACACTGTCGGCGTGCCATATACGCTACTACAAACCGCTGAGGAGAAGTAATCCAGTGGAACAAATAAATTAGTTATAAAACATCGCGAAGTTATAAAGAAATTTACACTGGTTAATTGCAACGCAGAGAATCTTGTATTTGTAAAAAATCCTATGTTCCGGATTTAAAATTCCAAATGTGTATAGTAACTGCCAAACGTTATACTGATATACATACTATATAAAAATGAATCACTAATACATACCCAACGTATATACAACATATATACAAAAGCAAGAACAGCTGGAGCCTCGCGCTCGCCGCGCGGAGAGAAACCGGTTTTCATACGTGCGTAGATGACGTTAATAAAATAACTATAACTTATATTCTAGTGGGAATTTCTTTTTAAAATTTTAGGAGGGAGTTTTTGAATGTAAATGGAAGCGATTTATAAAAAAAAATAAAATTGATTTTTTGAAAGTTTCCGCATGAGACTGTCCCCTTAATTCTAGGATACGAACTCTCTATATTTGTCCCATTTCTTTAGTTTACGAAAAAACTATTTTATTAGTTCGTTTTTTATTCACCCGATTATTTATGCCATATGGGTAATAAAAGAGCTTTTGCGCCCAGCCGTTGAAAACGAGTCGACCCATTCACAGAGTTTTGCAACTATTCCAGCAACATACACACAAGTATATATCAATCCACCAATTCACTCTGAAGACAAATTTGTTTGTCAGCTTAATAGACAGTAGCTGGTGAAAACTGTCCAAAGTAACCAAAGACGCAAACATCAGGTAACGGAAGGTTTGGACATCCGGATTTCGGAATCCACAAAGTATTTTGTTTATTGATCACCTTGGGAAAGATAATCGTAATAATTGTATTCAACAGCTAAATTATGGAAAAGAAATGCACAGATTATTTATAGATCTACAAAAAATCTTCGACAGCTTAGAAGGATTGGGAGGTGAAGAGCAGAAAAGGGTGTCAATAACATACATAAATGTTTTTAAAACTATTTATGCATATAAAAGAGAGCAGGGATACATGTGGAACAAAAAAAAATGATCAAAAAAAGTAGCAAAAATTAAAGCGTTAAGACAGGACTGTTGTTATTCTTCTAAGATCATTTAATACATACAGTGGTGGCCCGTCTAAAATCTACGTGATTGCAAAACTTCTAGCTTTAACGCCCTAAGCGGCAGTCTTCTTCTTCATGTACCATGTCCTTTCAGAACGTTGCTTACCATCATAGCTATCTGAATTTTATTCACTGCCACCCTAAATAGCATGCTTGGCAGTGTCAATTCCTAAATTGTTTTAAACGGGGATGAGTACCAAGTGAACTATTATTGAAAAGCTTTCTATCGCTTCCTTCTATCATTATTTACTCGAAGGTGATCATACTATTATTTCGGCAACTATTCGTTACTTTTTCAATATTGCAATCACTATATTCTTAAGGATCCTGCCATTCGTAACTTGGTATCCATCTCTCAATTTATTTTCTGTTATAATCACGTAGATTATTTTCTCATAAGATTTATTGTAAGGTTGATTGAAAAGCGTAGTATCTTATAAAGCGTGCTTACTGCTCAATCAGTTTCCCTGGAGTTGACAATCAATTTAACTAAAGCGATCTCTTTACTGCTAAGCGAAATAGGTCTACGTTTCTCGAGATATACAAAATATATTCTGTTACGTCAGCTTTTGACCTATGATCGAACCGCAGCAGGTAGGCGTTCAATAACCACGACTTTCTAGAAGCAGGTGTTCACCGACGTTGCTGAACCTGTGTGGTCTCGAGGGCTCCACACTGTTCGATGTAATGGCACTCATAAGGAAATTTTGATTGTAAGAGTTAGTCTAAAATATAAATTCGTATTGTTAAGTAATAAATATATCAAAATAAATAATTGTGTTTTTAGTGTTAAGGTGGACGAATTAACATAAGTGTACATAAAATAAAGGCTAAATAAATTAAAAATAATAAAAACATTGCAATATACAACCTTGAGAACAGAATATTTCTTTCTATTTTTTATTGGTTTATTTGAGGAAGTTACCAAGCAAGGGTGTATAATGTCGAAATTATACTGATTTCAGGAAGTTGTCGTACTAAATTATGTATTTTTTTAGTGGATTTACCTAGAGATATAGAAATCGCAAGACCCCAAACCGCAGGCGAAGAAGAACTCCAGTTACAGTTAGCTTTGGCGATGTCTCGGGAAGAAGCAGACCAGGAAGAACAAAAGAGAAAATCGGATGATGTTCGGCTCCAGTTAGCGTTAAGTCAGAGCCAGCAAGATTTCAAGTAAGGCATTCTTTACTATTAGAAAATTAAATTATTTTAAAGTAATTCTTACTACTAACGTACTAACATGATCGATATATGGCAGCTATTGTTTGATAGAAACGCTGTGATGGAACATGTCAAACTTCTGAAGCTTTGACGTTTGAAGATAATGCACTGACAGCTGTCAGTAGCGAATTGACTTTTTGAAAATGGATAAAATTGTAATATAGCAGTATGAAGGCATATTGAAGAAATAGTTCAGAAACGGCGATCAGCTTAAAGTACGCGATCATGGAGACAATGTAGACATTTCAAAAAGAGTTGCAAATTGTAATTTTAGATATAAATTTGAACCAGTTCTTTCCAGTGTTCTTTACACTGGGCCGCTTGTAGCCAGGTTTCCGCTACAGGTTTTATATCATTGGTCCATCTAGTCGGTGGTCGTCCTCGGCGACCAGAACAATAATAGGATCAAAAATATCAAAATACAATGAGTCAAGGCCATGATAAAATACTAAAAATTTGTAAATGTGGGCATCAAAAATAAAAAGAATAATCTTATCAAGAAGAATACCAGTATATCTGAGAGATATACTGAGAGATATATCAAGATAACTGGGAAAGAATTTCTTAATTATTTTTGGGGAACTTCCCCTAAAGAATTCGGAAAAAACTATTTTATTTTCTTACGAAAGCATTCAGGAATAATTGAATACCCTTTTAGACAACCCAAGACAGGAGAAAGCACGAAGACAGCCATTTAGTGGACTTATTAGATGTTAATTTGGGCGGAGACCATGCACCAGCCGATCCTTGGGGAATGCCACAACCTCCAAGACCACAGGTATGTTTCAGAATATCATTTTATACCATTTTTAATAACACCAGTAACCGTTACGGGACTTTTCAGGAGAGAACTCGTTGGAATATTGATTTTTTAAAATAAATTCGTTATTTAAGATGCAGAATATTTATTGCTCACTCGTAACGTTCATTTGTGTTAAATTTTTTTATAAAACGCTGAAAATTATTATTTTCCTTTTTAAATTTTCACAAAATTTATGAATTACTTTAATAAAAACAATTATAATGACGGAAAGCACATAATATACAAAAATGACACAATAAAAATATTTTTAACTTCTAAACATCTTATATTTTAGTAATCCTCATATCATTAACTTCTCCATAAAGATTTTGTAAGTAAATTATTCAAATAAGTTGTTTTTTCCCTGGTTGTGGGTAATATAGTTGAAACTAGATCCGTCGCTGATGATGGCGCGGTTTTAATCTCGATGCCTTCGGGGCGAAATCCCTTAGGCCTCGACCGTGATACTGTGATGCTTTCGAGATCCTAACAGGTGAAGGTGAAAGACTATGGCCATCTGTGAACAACATATATTGTTTACATTTGCTATTTGTCAGTAATTGCAAAATAAAGTCGGAAATAACAATGTGTATCTATCTAAAAAGTCTAAATTGCTACTGCTGAACGCAGGAATCTCTAAATGTTCGCAAGTTCTCTATGGTGTGCCCTTTTTATTCAGTTTCCAGTAATTCTTTTTATATAGTGGGTCCCTCTGCGGGGTGGCCTGCCTATATTTATGCTACGTGTCCTGGATTCTATCTTTTTTGCTCATCGCTCATCCGTTATTCTACCAACATGTCCGGCCCAATTCCATTTCACATGCAAAATAGCCTCAACAGCGTTTCGTACTCCGGTATTGTTCTTGATCACTTGATTTGGAACTTGGTCTTTTTGACTTATTCCCAGCATTGATCTTCCCATCTTTCTTTGCATGTATTTTTTGTATGGATATTCTTTTTTGCCATAGTGAGTGTTTCAGCACCATAAGTTATGACAGGGAGTACACGTCGATTGAAAACTTTTCGGACATGGGAGTAACACAGTTCAATATGTACTTTAATTTTCCAAATGCTGTCCAGATCGGACCTATTCTTTGAATCTTGTCTGTTCCATTACTTCTTTCGATGTCTATCTTGCATTTTAAATACCTATTCTTAGTTATTTCAGTGATGTTAATGTTATTTATTTGTAGAGGAACATTACACTAGATTTGTCATGAACAAACAGATTTTTTAGAATGATTTCTACAACTCTTTCAATATATATTGTGCTTAATGGATATTAGATGAAATCAATACAACATCGTCCTCAAAACACAGGTGATTTAACATTTCTCCATTGATCCATTGATGTTGATAGCTGCTGATCTTTATTTTATGTTATTAAGGATGCCATCTTGCAGGATGGTCACTAATATTGTTGGGAAAATGACTCTGCCAAGGGAGAGTTGTCATCGAAGAAGATTAGAGTCCGCCAGATTTTGAGATTGGAACTTATTGAAGCGTGCTGAAAAATTTGCAATATCTCCGGTTCTAGAAAACGTAGAACCTTGATGGCTGATCTAACAATGCCCAATGATTTAACGATAACGATCAGATACCTGTAATATTTTTTAAGCCATTTCTTTTTCTAGGGGACGCTTTTGAAATTTTGTGTCCTTTCCTGACACACTCTTTCATGAATACATCTAAAGCAAAAGTCTACAATTTAAATATGTCTAAATTTTGTGAAAATATAAAAACTTCTCATTGTTTGATTGATACACAAAAATGGTATTCAAATATTTTCGATATTAATTATTATCTATAATTATAATTATAATTTTAATTTATTTCTAGTCGTTGGATTTAAGTTTCTTTGATTTTTATTCTCCGGTGGTACGTATATGTGTGTCTATGCAAAGTGTGGCTTAGACTTTGTGCTAGGCTAGTAAATAAGCGACTACTTATTGTTAAATAATTTTGTGCCGTTTGGCTTTTTACACAGTTTGTATTACATGACGTATCACGTTAGCTTTAAAGGATCCACATATGCTAAATGTAACAAAAGTGCAAAATTTTTGTTTATGCTATGAAAACTGATCAAATAATTATCCAAAATGTGTATTATTAATTAAGTTGACCAATTAAAACAGTATTGATATAACGATAACGATCAGATACCTGTAATATTTTTTAAGCCATTTCTTTTTCTAGGGGACGCTTTTGAAATTTTGTGTCCTTTCCTGACACACTCTTTCATGAATACATCTAAAGCAAAATGCTACAATTTAAATATGTCTAAATTTTGTGAAAATATAAAAACTTCTCATTGTTTGATTGATACACAAAAATGGTATTCAAATATTTTCGATATTAATTATTATCTATAATTATAATTATAATTTTAATTTATTTCTAGTCGTTGGATTTAAGTTTCTTTGATTTTTATTCTCCGGTGGTACGTATATGTGTGTCTATGCAAAGTGTGGCTTAGACTTTGTGCTAGGCTAGTAAATAAGCGACTACTTATTGTTAAATAATTTTGTGCCGTTTGGCTTTTTACACAGTTTGTATTACATGACGTATCACGTTAGCTTTAAAGGATCCACATATGCTAAATGTAACAAAAGTGCAAAATTTTTGTTTATGCTATGAAAACTGATCAAATAATTATCCAAAATGTGTATTATTAATTAAGTTGACCAATTAAAACAGTATTGATATAACGATAACGATCAGATACCTGTAATATTTTTTTAAGCCATTTCTTTTTCTAGGGGACGCTTTTGAAATTTTGTGTCCTTTCCTGACACACTCTTTCATGAATACATCTAAAGCAAAATGCTACAATTTAAATATGTCTAAATTTTGTGAAAATATAAAAACTTCTCATTGTTTGATTGATACACAAAAATGGTATTCAAATATTTTCGATATTAATTATTATCTATAATTATAATTATAATTTTAATTTATTTCTAGTCGTTGGATTTAAGTTTCTTTGATTTTTATTCTCCGGTGGTACGTATATGTGTGTCTATGCAAAGTGTGGCTTAGACTTTGTGCTAGGCTAGTAAATAAGCGAACTACTTATTGTTAAATAATTTTGTGCCGTTTGGCTTTTTACACAGTTTGTATTACATGACGTATCACGTTAGCTTTAAAGGATCCACATATGCTAAATGTAACAAAAGTGCAAAATTTTTGTTTATGCTATGAAAACTAATCAAATAATTATCCAAAATGTGTATTATTAATTAAGTTGACCAATTAAAACAGTATTGATATAACGATAACGATCAGATACCTGTAATATTTTTTAAGCCATTTCTTTTTCTAGGGGACGCTTTTGAAATTTTGTGTCCTTTCCTGACACACTCTTTCATGAATACATCTAAAGCAAAATGCTACAATTTAAATATGTCTAAATTTTGTGAAAATATAAAAACTTCTCATTGTTTGATTGATACACAAAAATGGTATTCAAATATTTTCGATATTAATTATTATCTATAATTATAATTATAATTTTAATTTATTTCTAGTCGTTGGATTTAAGTTTCTTTGATTTTTATTCTCCGGTGGTACGTATATGTGTGTCTATGCAAAGTGTGGCTTAGACTTTGTGCTAGGCTAGTAAATAAGCGACTACTTATTGTTAAATAATTTTGTGCCGTTTGGCTTTTTACACAGTTTGTATTACATGACGTATCACGTTAGCTTTAAAGGATCCACATATGCTAAATGTAACAAAAGTGCAAATTTTTGTTTATGCTATGAAAACTAATCAAATAATTATCCAAAATGTGTATTATTAATTAAGTTGACCAATTAAAACAGTATTGATAATCAATTAAAATTATCTGTCTTTCTCTTTATACCTATCTTCGGTCACGAGGCGGTGCACACAGGATGGCTGCGAATACAGCGACATCTTTGGCAAAAATAGGAACTTTTCCATTTGTTTTGTTTTTGCAGAATCAGTAATAGAACAAAACCTAATAGCACAGATGATCATTTTGTTCAATGAATTTACTTATTTCACTTTTAAAACAAAACAGAACTTTGAAATATGTGTACTTATATGGCAAAAATATAAGACGCCTTGAATGGTGTATTGCTGCTGTAATGAAATTAGTAAGAGATAAGTTATTTGATCGCTTAACAAAAAACATAAAAGGCAAACAAACAGATAAATTAAAACAAATATTAGATATACACAGAAATGATTAATAATCAGCAGCGATAATACAACAGTTGTAGATGATAATACTTGGTATGTGAAGCCAAACAGTGATAGTGAGAAGTGGAAAGATTACTCAGTTGTAATGAATGTGAACTTGTTTGTAAAAAATGTAAAATATGTGTTCTTTAAAATGCCATTTATGTAAACATATTTATGATGTTATAAATTTAATGGTTAACTTAACAAAACCAGAAGTCCGGCACTGTCTAATAAAGCTAAGCAAACACCTACATTGATTGTAGGCCATAATTGTTAACATGACGATATAATTGATTGCAACAGAAGAATTAAATCTCTCAGCACATACAACTGGTAGGACTCTCAATATTGAACAGCAATTAAAATTAGAAAAAGCTTTTGATGTCAAAATTAGTTATTTGCAACCTACTTCACAGATAGTTAAAGAACCTGCAAATAAAAATATAAATCAACAACTGCGTTTTGAAAGTACAATAAAGAAGAGAAAATTTAATGTTCAGGGTACTCTAATTAAACCAATATCTAGTGAAAAGAAGATGATAAAGCAGTTTTTTAACATGGAGGAAGACCATTAGTATATTAAACACCCAAAACTATTTTAATTTATGCTGTTATGTTTGTCTTATGTATAACAATAATACTTTAGTTGATTTCAGGGTTTTCTTTAAAAGCTTAGTGAATAATAAGCTATTTATTGACCGCATATTAAATATGAAGTAAAGTTAATCGGTTATCGGTTAAGTGCATTACTTAACAATGGATGCAATTGATCCTACTAAAAGGGAATGAAATTACATACAAGACTAGAAAAGTATATGACGTGTTTCGCTCATCAGATATACTAGTTCTCTCACAGGTTCAGCAGGTATTAATTACATCCATTTTTTAGTAATGCACTTGAACAATAACTCAATAACATTATTTCATATACTATATGTGGTCATTAAATATCTTTATAAAATATTTGATTTGTGAAAAGTACCAAAGTTTTATAATAGACAATAATGCCATTTGATGGACTTGCGTTAGACTGTATAGAAACTACAGAGTTTATAATACAGAAATCATATTCTGAATTCTGAATTGCAATCGGAAAATATAATAGACCATATGCGCTGAACCCCCAAAAGGACTGGTATTATATGCCTGATGAGCTTTGAAATATAATTTGAACTATTTGGTGAACTATTTATCATATAATCTCCAAACTATAAGAAGGTATACAATATGGACATTTTTTTCCTCATTGATAGTCACTTATATATGAATAATTTTTAGGGAACCTCATAATTTAAGCATAGATTTATTTAGTTTTAACCAAGTAGGTTATGTTTCTATTTTTGCCGGAGATGTCGCTGCGCTCGTAGCCATCCTCCCTACACCGTCTCGTCTTCGGTCGGCTTCTTTGACTAAATACAGTGGGTGGCCAAATTATTAGACACATGACACACATTTCTGTATTTTCTAATTTAATTATTTTTTGGCAAATAGTTGGTTCTGGGTCCTGTATGTAATTTTTTATTTGCAAGGGCATATTACTAAGATTATAAAAAGTTTTGTAGGCGAAGGTATGTACATTGCCGTCCATTTGAAGTGGATAATTATAAATACTCAAAATAAAACAAGACATAAGCAACAATTATTAAAAATTACAGTTTAGAAAAAAGGCAAACCCAAAAGACATGGAATTTTAAAAATAAAATTTAATTTCAATAAAAGTTGAAAATTAAAAAAAAAATGCCATAACAAAATGTTTTAAATGATAAAAAAGCGAAAATAATGCAGACTTTAGTGGTGAACTTTCCGTTCAATAGGAGTTCCTTGTAGGACCTCATGTGTTTCTTAAGACGCCTGTACTCTTCTAGGCATGCTTATAACCAGTAATCGTATACACCGTTGATCCAAATCTCTCCACTCTTCTCTTAAAGCGTCACAAAGCTCATGAAGTGTCACTGGTTTAGGATCTTGAAGATTAAGCTGTCGTTGGAGACAATCCCGGACTTGTTCAACAGGATTCCAGTCTGGCGAACGGGGAGGCCACTACATAGGAGTAATACTGAGCTCTTCTAGATCATTATTCCCAATTTCTACTTTGGTGAGGTCGAGACAAGAAAAATTAATTTTAAAATAAAATTGTAGCTTATTCCCAACAAAAATAGTAAATTGCATTAAGATGTAACAAGAAAATAGCTTGTTGATCGACCAAACCTAAAACCACTTTGATATTCTTCAATAAGCTCCTGCGAATAAGCACTTAGACCAGACCATACAGAATGCTTTAAAACATTTTTGTACTTTGTTAAGAAGGGTTGTTCCCATAGACTAAAATAATGATTGTGTTTGTGGATCCTTTAAAGATTCTATGATTAGTTAGATTAGCTAATTCATTTATTGTAGCTAATAACACTCATTAATGTGCAGTTAACTATTAGCGCTAGATATACTCATCAATAAAACGTAAATATATATTAGAACATCAACTCTATTATGTCTTATGTCACGAAATTGCCTATTGTATAGCTACAGACAATCAGTTGTTTCGTACGATGTGTCAGAGAGATGTACGATTACACAATACATAGTCATACAATTTCTGATGAAACAAAGTGTTACTATGTTGAAATTTCATAAATAATACATGTCCTGACAAATATTTTTACTTAAACAAAACCCTTACATCATCAGTTATGGTATACGTATCCGAATCACGGACTATCTCCAAAACAGACGAAGATATTTGACTTGTCTTTTGAACGAAAGTTCCTGAGAGGAATATTTGATAATATATGTGAAAATAGTATCTAGAAGAGATTTGAAACAACCATAGAATATCTGGAATTGGAGCGATGTGATATCGCTCATGGAAGGATGGTGTAGATAAGTATGCTAGGAAAATTTAGGGCTTCAGTACCAATAATGATGATGATGACATTAAAAATCTGTTACAAGACTAGGGCGTACCTCCTTTTTTATGATAATTAGATATACAATTTACTTAGACGATGTGAAAAAGTATTCAGAAGGATGAAATAGAAAACAAATATTGAAATTATCATTCGATAAAAACTTATTAACAAAGGTAGGTCCTTATTTGATAAGTTCTATTCGGCCAAAGCAACATCGAAATTTTCTCCTAATAAGAAGAAATGTTTTAAATAGATTATGCAATTTATAGCAAACATCACCTTGGCATCCAGCTTCACTATCATCCCCACCTGACGTACCTTTAGCAAGCCCTTGGACCGGTGCCACTGGCACTACTACACACAAAACAGACCCATGGGGGGTACCAGTTGTCCCAAACACCAGCACTTCGCCGATCCCGCCCACCCCCAAGCAAGACCCCTGGTCACCCGCTAGCCAGAGCTCAACGGACTTGGACGAGTTTGATGTAATTTCAAATAGGTGAGTTTTATCTTTATTCTACATATTTTCTGTTCTTGTGGCGTTCTATTTTTTCTTAACTCATATAATATGTTGTGGTTAATTTGAAATACCTCGAATTTTCCAGAAACAAGTTCAGAAAATTGCTTTATAGAGAGCTTTATATTACGGATTTACAGGGCACAAAAGCCTGTTGTTTCTATCTAAAAGTTTGTGCTTTGTCTTATAGTGTATTTTTATGTATGAGAGAGTAATAAAACAATAAATTATGTATGCAAATCCCTAAACTGTTGATACGGTGACTCAATGAAAAACAGATATTTGTCAACAAGTTTACAGAAGTATATAGGAAAACAATTTTAAATTGAGTATGACCACCAGGTATAAAGGTTGGAGCAGAATAGAATACAATAGTTGTGAGGGTTACTGGTACTGGTTATGACCAATAAAAGTTTAATAAGTACCTACCTATTTGCAAAATAAAGTTTAATTCTTTAGATAAAATAAAATGTTTTATTTTATCTGAAATGAGTGCATTCCACGAAGTAAGGGTTTCAACAATCAAACATTTAATTCTTTAATTCAGGAATCTACGACAGTAATTGACTAGATAATTACCTTCTAAACTTATTCCACAGAAAATGTGATAGTGGGTTTTTCCATTATGTAGGAAGGTCCAAGTGGCGTATTCAAAATTCTTAACAGTTCACTAAAAGTATGTACTTCAGTTGCAAGGTGCAGTTTATTGTGTATACTAGTGTTATGGAAAATTTGGAAGTGCCGTGTAAACGCTGAAAAATTGGTCCTTTAACAGTTAATGAAAAAACATTAATATTTAATTGTTATAAATTATTTACAGACAAACGTTTATGTGAAAGTGTTGATGAGACCGTTGAGTTAGTTAGCAGTACACTTGGTGTTGGGAAATCTACGATTTACAGAGTTATTAAAGAAGAGAAATGTGGTAGTTTTCAAATGCCACGTAATGCTCCAGGGAAACCCAAAATTTCAATAGAATATCATTTTAAAGAAGGACTTCGACGGAAAGTGCATGAATTCTTCTTTAGACAAGAATTTCCAACATTGGATAAAGTTCTTGTCTCAGTTCGAGATGATAAGGATTACCCAGAAATGAGTCGAAGTACGTTATGGAAACTTTTAAAAGAAATAGGCTTCCGCTGGAAAAAGAATCCCAGAAAGTCTATTTTATTAGAAAGAAGCGATATTGTCATATGGAGAAGACATTTTCTAAGAACCACAAAGGAAATGAGAAACCAAAAAAGAAAAATATTTCATCTTGATGAAACATGGATCAACGAGGGTCATACACCAAATAAATTTTGGCAGGATGAAACTGTTTACAAGTCAAAGGCACGCTTTTGTAAATAACTTATCTACTGGTTTAAACCCACCATCATTAAAGGGACGCAGGCTGATAATAGTACACATTGGCAGTTCAGACGGTTTTGTTGAAGGTGGTTTATTAACTTTTGAATCAACTCGTACCGGTGACTACCATGAAGACATGAATGCTGATGTCTTTCAAGAATGGTTCGAACAAATGATAGATCTTCTTCCTTAGAACTGTGTAATAGTAATGGATAATGCAAGTTATCACTGCAAACTTATAGAAGGACTGCCCACAACCAAGTGGTTAAAAAAAGACTTGCAGAATTGGCTGAGTTCAAAAAATATTACGTACCATCCCGGATCTATAAGAAAGGAACCTTATTCGTTGTGTGCCCTTCATAAAGGAAAATTTAAAAAATACGAAATTTGATGAAATTGCCAAAAATCGTGGAATGACAGTACTTAGATCCCCACCATATCATTGTGAATTAAACCCGATTGAACTGGTATGGGCACAGATAAAGAGTGAAGTTTCAAGAGAAAATACCACTTTTAAAATTCATGATGTTAAACAGTTGTTTTTGGAGGCCGTAAATAATGTAAACCTGAAAACTGGGAAAAGGCAGTAAATCAAACTATTAAAGAAGAGGAAAAAAATGTGGAAGCTGGACAATATTACTGATAAAAATGATCGAGCCAGTTATTATAAATCTTGGTTCTGAAAGTTCATCTTCTGAATCTGATTTGGATTTGTAACAAGTAGCTGTAAGTTTTATATTAATATTTTTATTCATCTATTTTAACATACCTTAGACGGTTTTAAAAACTCTTTTTCTCTTTTGTAATTTTTAAAAATTAAAAAAAATGTGAATTTTTTAAAACCCTTTTTAATGTAGGCCAGTCAGTTCTAATATAGTGTGTGATAAAAGAGGTCACTTTTGTTTACATACACATAACACTTTATAACACTGAAATAATTCATTTATTTTTTACAATTATTCACGCTCATTCAGTAATTTTTCAATTAATCTTGAGCACGCCCATGGAGTGGTCGAAGGTACCAGTTAAAATTATGCTAATTACTCTCTCGTTCATAAAAATAAACTATAGATCACAAATACCACAGAAAGGTTGGTCTTTTGGAGTTGGGGCATGTGCAGTGATCAAACTGTAATTGAAAAATTTCCCTTTTAAGCGAAAATAACACATCTTTAACTGTAAGATTTAAATTCAATAATAAGGCCTTTTATTTTCTGGTTTACAATAAATCACACTCCATCTATGTGTTGGCCTTCATTGCAGCTATACTATATGGAACGAACAGCTAAAAGAAATGAGAAAATAATCCCCTTTCAAACTAAAAACCAAGTTTCCTAACTATTTAAATTTAAAACTATGAACTAAAACAAATTATAAAATTTATTAGGTATTACTAAGATATTGGTAATTTAAGATTGGCCTTGAGACCCTAAGATTGAAAGTTTTCCAGTGTTAATAATCTACTTTATTGATCTTCAAAAGGCGTTTGTTGCTATTGATAAAAACGTTATGACAAAATGAATTGCGTAAATCATAAAAAAGTTTATTTTAAAATTCACTTCTTTCAGAAATAAAGTATCTACGTCCCCGAAAACCAACGGAAGCGGTCCCGATCCTTTCGAGTTAAACTTGTTAGGCGACAGTCTACCTACTAATACAACGACAGACAGTGAAGGCAACACATCGACGGGTACCACCAAAAAGACGCCCCTAAGTTTTCTCGGAGAAAATTCGGCATTAGTGAATTTAGATAATCTTGTAACAAGTAAGTCAATAATAATTATTTTTCTGTTTATATGATTTTTAGACGTTTTAAGACGATTTTTTTCCTACAATTATGTTGGTCTTAGCCGCCAATGTTGCTTTCTGCACATGCGATGGCCTCTATAATAACATATGAGGACATAGAAAAGGAGTCTGGGTATATACGTCCAGTCTGGAATAACCGATGGTTCCTCCCCTTCGACTCGAGTATATATTTTATGAAATACAAAAGAAATAAGCAAGTGGACTGTATTTGAAATAAAAAAAGAAAATATTTATTGCAACAGCTTGTTAACATTCCAGAAGTTTGTTAACATGACGATCGCCAACGCTTGTAAACAGACATGGGTCACAAAAAAGACGAATTAATTTCTACAAAATTAAAGTATGCGACGTGATCCGTATTACAACGAATCTAAAGCATTAGCCATACTGCTTTAATACACAATTTGTAATGAAAAAAGATCCACTACCAACATGCACCAACTGCTCATTCTACTGACGGTAAAACACGTCCTGCTTGTCTGTACAATCTTCGAGAAAGAAAAAAGAACATATGGAATCACAGCTACCATGCTGATTGAAAATATTCCAACAGTGATAAAGTATTTAAAATATTTAAAATTGTATTATTCTATTTAATGTAATACAGCTTCAATTATTGTGTTGTAATACCACTAATGTGGTACCGCCAACCATACCAACACCTATGTGGTTGGTATGATAAGATGTGTAAATAAAAGAAGAGTTCCAACTGTAATATTTTTTGAGTCATTAACATATTTTTAAAAAGAAATTATTGATATATTAGGAGCTTACATGACCAGTATTGGCCAGTAACTTTATTAGTGTATATAAGAAGTCTATCTACAAATATATACCAGACATACCATTGTCATTTAAACATTTGCTATAAAAATTGCATTACGATCCAGCTTTAGCCATACGGCTCACTCCCTCTAAGGGGAAAATTCACTCATCCAGATACTTACGTATATAACTATTACTATACAGATACTATTACTTAGGTACTGTCTGGGTACTTTCCATTCTCCATTGTCTCCTGATTTGTATTTCTAGATCTCTGTACTTGGCGATCTTTTCGTTGAATTTAACACGCAAATTATTGGTGTTAGGTATCGCCACATCAATAAGTGTTTACCTAATAAGTTTATTAATTAGTACGAGATCCGGGCTATTATGTGCCACTGATTGGTCTGTGAGCACATTGCGGTCCCAGTATAGCTTGTAGTTGTCATTTTCAAGCATTCTGTCAGGGACGTATTGATAATAAGGAAGATGGTTGGTTTGGAGAAGTTCCAGTTTGTCGGCTAGTTCTTGTCGATAATCTTTCCTACTGAGTCATGGCGTTCTTTATAATCAGTACCGACAAATGCCTGGCAGCCACCGGTAAGATGTTGGATGGTTTCTTAGTCAGGTGGTTTATGCGCATTTCTTGTTCCCTCAGTTTAAGCGGCCTTGTATTATCTATTGCGCAAATTGCTCAATGTAAGTTAGATGTTTCAGCCTGTACCTGAAAATAAGTTCTTAAATTAGCAATTTGTTTATCCAATTGCTCACCTATATCCATAAGTCCTCTTCCCCCTCGATACCGCGGTAATGTTGTTCTCTCTACTGCACTGCGTGGATGATGTTTTTGCGCCTTAATGAGAAGTGTTCTTACTTTCCGCTGAAGACCCTCTATATCCGTTTTTGACCACTTTATAATACCAAATGAGTAGCTCAGCGCGAAACAGGTGTACGTATTTAATGCCTTAAACAAATTTTTACTATTAAGATAAGACCATTTAATTGCCTTACTCTTCGCACGAACTCCGAAGTGTTCAGTTTTGCCTCGATGTTTTGGCCATCTTGCATATCGAAATCTCCGGGTTGAACCTTTCCACTATAGTTACGGCCTTGTCAGTCCAAAATGCATACTATATCATTTGAGAAAGTTTCTACAGTTTTTAGCATCTGATTAGGTGTTTCGAGTGGAAGCCATTAATTTCAAATCATCCAATACAACAATGATTAAGCTTCGCCACAATGTATTGTTATTTTTGATGCTAAAACCTGAGTCAGTGGAGTTCAGTAGCTGAGATAGTGGGATCATCGCTAAACAGAACCAAAGAGGACTCAAGGAGTCCCCTGGAAAAGGCCCCGGTTAATTGGGATATCTTCAGTTTCGATATTGTTTTCACCAGGTATTTGAAGGTGAATTTTAGTCTTCCACTCCGTCGTTATATGCTTTAAAAAGGTCACTATATTATCATCGACTTTATATATTTTCAATATATCTATAAAGTACTGAATCAAAGGCCTTCTTGTAGTCGATGAAGGCGGTGAAAAGGTTCCTTTTTTGGTGTATACCTGGTTAGAAATGACGATAATAAGTCGATAATAAGTTGTTCTTTGTAACACATTGAGCCTTAGCGCATCTTTTCTGTTGAGGCTCTATGATATTATTTAGAGCACAGTGTTGGTAGTTACGCTGGGCTAGACAGGATGTGATAAAATTGTACAAATTTGGAAGAAAAGTAATTGGTCGGTACTTGGTTGGATCTTGGGTGTTATTTTGATCTTTTGGTATAAGATAAGTGGTTCCGTGTGTAAGAAATGATGGTATTCCCTGCGGATTAGAGATATGATTAATAACTACTGACAAACACTCATGAACACTCCAAAACTTCTTTAACCAGAAGTTCTGAACTCCGTCTGGCCCAGGAAATTTCCAGTTATGAAGCTTTTTGATAGTATTCGAGACTTCTTGAGTGGTGAAGGGTTCGTAAGGAATATTATTGTAATGTCGACAATTGTTCGTTGTGTCTTCAATCCATCCAGCATTGGTGTTATGAGTAGCTGACGTTGAATTACGATTATTATTATTATTTTTTATTTATTTTTAGTACTTTCTCATATAAATAAAAAAACAGATTATACTAGATAGTTGGTTTAGTAAAAGAGTAAATTAATTCCATATCATAAAATATGGTGTATCCAGTGTAATGGTGTAATAATTAAGTTTTTAAAAATGTTTTAGTTTAAACACATTTTAAAATAAATATACTTTTTATAGAATCTACCGAAGAGAACTGGTTGCCGGTAAAAAGTTACAGTAAATAGACCTTTTTCTTTTTCACCTGTTGAATTTAACAAATTTTGTTGATTTTTTAAAGTGTTTAACCGTTTTATGTACTATGTGTCTTTATGCTAGAGGGGAAAATGTACAATTCTTCATTGATGCCAAAGTAAAAGCCAAAATATCGATTGGCGTTTATGCCAAAGACAATTTTTTTTAGTTGCTTTAAATATGAAATGTGCGATAAACTTGCTGTAAACATTTCCAGAGTTTCATGATGATCATTGCGAACACAATTTGGAAAAGAAATTGTTCCGATATAACAGACTATTTGCCACACCTTTGCCAGTTTGTAATATTATAAAGATTTATTACCTGGATCCATAGGATCCACATTTAGTTCACAAGTTCCAAAAAATATTGTAAACTGTCCTCAAAACGAGTCTGAAAATCGACTTTGAATGTAAAATATGGCATGCAGCGATATTTGTTTTACGTTTAGTATACTTATAGTCAAATTGTCAGCGTCAACTCACTAATGGTTTAATATTGGGGAAAACTTGACATTAAAATGAACAAAAAAAGATGATATTAAATTCTCTCAATAATTTATCAAAATTCTTGTGCAAATGAAGAAATGTACATTTTAAATGACTTAATATTAACAATCACTTTGAGACTATTTTTATTATTGTTAATTATCTTTGTATCAGTACCTTGTACCATACAAAAATCAATCCCCATCGCAGGCATGCCCTGTGTAAGCGCCTCCCACCAAGCCTTCTTTGGTCTTGCTCTTCTACTCTCTTTTTACATCATTTTGTGACATTAATGATTTTGAATATTTGTGCTAGTTCTATTTCTACAGTTTTTTCTTGACTTTGTTCCCACGCACGTCTTTTATTCACAATTTGTATCCTGAAGTTTTCCCAAGTATTTCAATTCCAGTGTCCTAGTATTACCGCCAGTTTATTAGTGCTTCATTTCCATTTGTTCTTCTATATTTGCTTAGAACATAACTTATTTCTTACCTATTAACATCCACAATTTGATTTTTTGTGATCCACTCCGGTATTTTGGTTTAGTTTCGATTCGTACTGCAATGTCCAGCACAAGCCACTTCTGCTGGTGGTTTAGAGTCTCATTATCTATAACCTTTCAGTCCTTACAATCAACTATATCATCGTTTTAATAATTTATTTGAGAATAATTTTGCCTGCTTTAGTATCTTTTGAGTTTCTCCTCTTCGAAATAATGAAGTAACAACCGCCATATCTAGTGCTACTGCTACTTCCAGCAGATCATCATCAAGTCATTTCTAGATCCTTGACCTTTCCACATATCGATTATCGATATCCTTTAGAGAATTTCAATTTTTTTTAAATTGTTCAATCTATTTTGTATATCGAATGTTTCATGTTCTTTTATCATATATAAAAGCTGTTTTGTTCGTATGTTTTTCGTATTTACTCGTAATACATGCCAAAAAAAGATATTTTAGGGTCATACTACTTCTTGGTTCATTTTCCGTGACATCATATGGTACTCCATATGACAGCTCACGAAAACATAACATTTGAGCATTCTATGTTTTAGTTTTACATGGAGATGGTTATAGTAGTGATACGAAACTATCGATAGTGTCCACTATCGATAGTTATCGATAGGTAAGCGTGCAAACATCGATAATTATCGATAGTTTTCGATAGTCCTTTATTTTGACATATACGCACGCGCAGTATTGCCCAATATACGTCCTTGGAAAATGCAGGCCAAGACCGTTTATTTTGACATAATTTGTCAAATTATGTGAAGAAAAAAGAAGAGCTCTAACTTCACTTCTATTTATCATCACATCACGTGTCACGTGCCACATTTTGTTTGTAATTTGTAACAAATTAACAAAAATGTTTGGTTAGGGTTAGATATAGGATCCAAAAAATATAATTTGTATTTGATCAAGTTTGTTGTTTTGTTTTATTTATTAACAGGAACTCACAAATAAAAGTTTATATCAGACGTATATTCTTAATGTTTTGAGCCAAATCAATTTAAAAAAAGAACATATTTATTGAAGCTCCAGTTATTATACCTTTAAGGAATTTATAAACAACTTTGTTTAACAAAGTGTTTAATAACTATTATTACAATGATCATAGACATACATACAGGATAGATTTCTTTATAACTCATTTATTAAATTCATGACTGTATAGAAATAAATTATTTTTATATACATACCTACCTACCTAATTTCAATAAATTTTTATGCACAAATATGCTACAAACATTGTGCAATAGTTTAAATTTTTTTAAAATTCCGGGTTCAAAAGTAGAGTAAATATTTCATTCAACAGATATCTAACACCAAGTGTATTAACAATATATACAAGTTAACACAATGAAAAAGGTTTAATTTTTGAAGTTTTAATGGTTTATAGATTAATATTTATATATGAATAGTTTTTATTAAAAAACTCATTTTTAAAATGAAACACCAATATCATGTGCTTATAAGAAAATACTTACAATTCGTCACTAATGTATTTATTTATAAATTTATTCAATATCGATTCTTGAAGATATATTTGTGTTTGTACTTTATTAAAGGATCCTTTATTGACATTTGCAATAACTCTAATATGTTTTTTGACAAAATTTATGGAAATATACTGGAGGGGTAATAACAAAATTTTATTAATAAAATATAGTTTATTACTATTTGAGTATAAATTAAAAAATACAAATTATTGGAATAACCAATAATTTTTATTTAAAAAAATTAATTGGTCCACATACTTGGATTTTAGTCGGGATCTGCGATCATTTAAAATGAGCCCTGCTGTACTAAAATTTCTTTCAGACTCGACAGAAGATCCAGGTATGCAATAATATTTCTGAACCAGTTCTTGCATCGGTTCAAATTCTCTTCCATTCACCTACAAAATAACTGAAATCTTTAAAATATCTATGTTTATAATTTACAATATTTACCTTCCAAAATAATAAAGGATCAGTATCTCCAGATAAATTGGGTCTTTCAAGATACTGCCTCTTTTGAATTATGGCATCCGCTTTTACATTTGTTGCTTTGTCCTTATTTTTTTTATCTAAAAAATTAAAAATGACGCTACTCGAACTAGTTACTGTTGATGAGGAACTATTATTTGGGACATTTTCTTCTTGAGTATTTTTTCTATTCCCTGAAATAATGGCTGCCATTTCCTCTTCCAACAGATTGGCTGCTTGATTGGCATTTTCAGTGGTTCTAAAGCCATCTTTTTTAAACCTGGGGTCCAATAAAGCAGTAATTTTGGGAATTGATCTTGTTTCGAAGTTAAATAACCGCCTTCTAACAGAATCAATTACACCAGTATAGAATTCTTGTCCAATTTCTGTGTTCAATTGTAAAGATGTTAAATAATTGTATATACCAAATGCAAGAGGAACTATTAGTGACACAGTTATATACTTTTCACCTGACACTTTTTCTGTAGCATCCTCAAAAATATAAAGGATTTTCTCCAAATCACCTAATACGCTAAGCTCATCGACAGAAAAGGGACCAGGAGCATTTCGCTGCTTTAGTAATGTATTATTTATAGCATCTGATATTAGTAGTATTCGTTTTATCATATAATAAACACTGTTCCATCTTGTGGGAACCTCTTGTAAGAATTTATATGGTGTTTTTCCCTCATTTGTTGTTCCCTTCCAAAGCTGGTTTTGCTCCTCTATATATTTTTTATATGCAACACAGCTAGACTTAAAATAAGTAACAACTTCTTTGCATTTTTTTAACACATCTGCTGTAATTGGCTTCTTTAGATTATCTTGGACAACCAGATTTAGCGTATGTGAAAAGCATGGTAAATGTTTTTTTCGTAACAGATCACAAGCTTTTATCATATTAGCCGCGTTATCCGTTACGATACATGATACTTTATCAGATATTTTGTATTCGTCTAAAATCTTTCTTATGCAATCTGCTATATTTTCTGATGTGTTATTAGTATCCATTACTTTTGTTTTTAAAACAGCCTTTTTAATTTCCCAGTCTTTGTTTATAAAATGGCACGTTAAACAAATATAGGACTCGTTAGCTGATGAGGTCCAAATATCTGTCGTAAGACCCACATATTTTATTTCGTTTAAAATTGTAGTAAGTTTTTTCACTCCGTCATCATACAAATTTTTCAACACAGTATTTTTTAAAGTGTCAGGTGATGGAAGTACATATCTTGGATCTAATAACTGGACAAATTTTATAAATCCACTATCTTTTACAATAGAAAACGGTTGAAAGTCTGTAGCCAACATCATTGCAAGAGCCTTATCTAATTCTTTTTTTCTTTGAGAGTTAGCATCATACTCTTGTTCTCGTCTAAAAAAGGGGCTTATAGAACGAACATTTGATCTTGCATAATTTTCTTTGCCTATTTCATCTTCACCTAAAAACATTAAAATTATTACTTTAAATAAAACAACCCTGAGATTTAACTACCTGATGTTTCTAATAGTGGCTTATTTAAATTGGGATGAAACCTTTTTAAATGATCAGTTAGGTTCGTTGTATTTCCGCTTGTTTTATACTCTCTGCCACAAGTGCAACACTTAGCAAACTTTTTGTCTAATAAGGACTTTGTAAAGTAGTTCCAAACTAAAGACATTTTTTGTCTCTTCCTTTGAGGAGTTGAACTAACAGAGGTAGAGCTAGAGCCTTGGTCACTTTCTTCGCTTTCTGGTCTATCAGATACTAAAATATAGCAATAATATCTTATTAGCAAAGACAAAATTAAAACAATATTCTCACTTACCATTGCTTTTACGTTTTGTCGAAATTAAAAATTTATCCATAGTAAAACAGTTAAGTCACCTCTTGCAGAATCCTTTCAAGTACGTGGATTGAACAATAAATAGCAAGATATTGTATCCAACAGACACTAACAACAATTAAATAAACTTTATTAATTATCAAAGATTAAGGAATAACGGTAAATGAGTTTAACAGTTAACTTAACCACAATGACATAAACAAATAAACAAAAACAAATAAACACACTTCATACTTGTTTCCGGGCTTTCAAGACCATGACACATGACACTATCGATTATTTTCGATAGTTTAAAATACTATCGATAGTATTCGATAGTTTTGATTTTCGATAATTATCGATAGTGTATCGATAGTTTCGTATCCCTAGGTTATAGCACAAAATTATTTTCAGTTTGAAATACGGGTTTCAGTCACTGCAATCCTGTGTTTTATTTATGTATTCTTTTATTTATGTAGCTTGTGAGCTAGATTCCAAATTACTAATTTGGGGATGTAATTATGTAATTTGACAAAATATTTCTAGTTCATATACATTTTTATGTGCTTCAAATCCTTTAAACTCTTAAAATGATTGTTAATAATTAGTGCAGGGGTATTTTTGAGAAAGACCCTTTTTTATATAATAAAAGGGTAAAATTAGTTTTTTCTTGTCTACGGAATGACCCTTGGGCTGTATTGTACTACATTTTTGTTATCGTCTAGGTAAACCCGCCAATCCAACACTGGTGGCGAATCCTTTCTCAGATCCAGCAATAAACAACCCACCCAGACAAGTTTTTAACACGCCTCCCCCGAAACCGTCCATCAACGAGATGAAGCAACAAACGTTCGCACCCTTTGGTATGTCAGCACCCCTCAGAGCTTTTCGCCCGTTCCTACCCAGACCATCGGATCAACTGCGGCCTTCGGACAGTTCTCAGGAACTGCCACACAGCAAGCTTTCGGCGGTACCAACGGCGGAGTGTTTGCTGCCACCACTGTAACACCTGTAAGTACAGATATAGTGCTAAAGGTACGGATATGCAACTGGTTTTTTGCACAATGCTTATTATTTTACAGCAGCACACGCTATGGTTTTTTTACAGAAGTGCTATATAAAAAAGTAGTACAGTATAACTTTAGACTAGCGCGAGCTTCATACTATAAAACATAATGACGGTATTAGATTTTTGTTTTGCACCGATGCAGGGCAGCGGCTGCATCGAATACCGTCATTATGTTTTATTTCTTTACTCTGTTTGGAGTACCAGGAACTGAATTCACTACGAATTTTGACCATAATGCACGGCAGGTGGAATGCATATTTTAGATTCTCTTGCCCTGTTTGCATTGCAAGTTGTAGAAGGCACAGTGGTAAAAAATTGAATTCAGTTTCGCCAGGTAGGAAATCGTATGATTTCTCTTTTTCTTCATACTATATTTTTTGTTTTTTGAACATTTAAATAATATTTTTAAAAGTGAATAAAGTAATTTTATTATTTATTTATTATTATTTGATTATGTTGTATAGATTTTAATAAAATTGAAAAAATTTACATATTGTATAACGGAGTTCCCTCGTCGCGTAAATGAACTCTTCCAACTGTTTGCGGTGATTGCGGATCCGCTATTTCGTAGTGCTACTTCCGTCAACATTTTACTATAGAGAAAAAGTAATACAATGCCAGTATAGAAGCTTCTCTTCAATAATGAGACCTGTTAAGTATTAGCGTTAGTTCCCTTAGTGAGATTTATCCTTAGAGGTCAACGCTATTTTTTGACTTCGACTGGATCTTTTATACAAGATCCCACTGCAGGATCACTACGTTAATAGTCAATCAATAGTCAATCAAACTTAAAATTTAAAATTAGGAGAATACATTGATAATAGGTTGCCAGTCAAAAAGTGGCCGCAAATATTTTTAATTCAATTAATAGTAATTAATTTTTGAACAAAATTTTATTTCGTTCATTTAGTTTTTAAATAAAATACGCTGCTTATGACGTATATGCATGATTTTTTATATAAAATTAAAGCCAATTTTTTTCTTAATATTATGATATAATGTTGCATGAGAAAAAGTGGTCGCAAATTAGGGTCGCCAGCTGTTTAAATGGGAAAATATAAAAGTAGCAATAATTAAAACAACAAATGAAAACTTGAAACCAAAGAATAGAAAACAATAAGATTGGATGACTGAAGAAATACTACTATTAATGAATGAAAGAAAATCATTCAAAACAAAAAATCCAATTAAATATAATGAAACTGATAGATTAATAAAAAAGAGAATAAAGAAGCTAAGGAGAGAATGTTACATGAGCAGTGCCAAGAAACTAGAAGAAATTGAGAAAAAATATGACTTTTTTAACATGCATAAAAGAATTAGAGAATTAACAGGAATGAGTAAACACTTCAAACTAGGCAACTAAGAGATGAAAGGGGTGCACTTATAACAGATATAAACCAAAAAATGCAGAGATGGACACAATATATATGCACAACTTTTTGAAGACAAAGAGAGAACAGAAGCACCAAAAGAATTTAAGGATGATACTGGGCCTGACATATACGAGAAGAAATTGAATATGCAATGAAACAAGCTAATGTGGTAAATCTCCGGACCTGATGAAGTTCCTATCGAATTACTTAAAATTGTGAATACTGAATCTATTGATCTTCTTTTGGATCTATTCAATACCATATATAGAACAGGTATAATACCTAAAGAATGGCTCAATCAACATTCATACTGCTTCCCAAAAAGCCAATGCAAAGGAGTGCAATGACATCGCACTTAATTAGTCCTGTCTTGAAATTGTTTTTAAAAGTAATTCACAATAGAATACATAAGAAAATTAGATGAAGGCATAAGTAATATACAAATGGGATTTAGGAAACGACTGGAACACGAGATGCACTGTTTGCAGTTAAGTGTTCTTTCGCAGAGATGCTTAGATATTAATCAGGGAAGTATATGCCTGTTTCATTGATTTTGAGAAGGCATTTGACAGAGTGCAGCATAATCGACTTAAAGAAATTTTATTTAAATAAAAAACATAGACAGTAGAGACATAGAATCATCTGTAACCTCTATTGAAATCAAACAGCAAAAGTGAAAGTTGAAAACGGAACTGACCAAGGATATCCAGATTCGCCCTGGGGTCCACCAAGGTGTATTTTTATCACCCTTGTTATTCAATTTATACAGTGAAGCCATCTCAGAATTGCGCTTGCCGAGATCAGTAAGGGCCTTATAATAAACGGTAGAGCACTTAATAACATAAGATATGCTGACGACACCGTCCTTCTGGCAGAACACTAGGAAAACTGCAACACCTTGCTGAACAACTAAATATATATTGCAACGATTATGGACTAAAAATCAATTTGAAGAAAACACAAGTTCATGGTATTTACAAAAGCACAAAACATCAAAGTTAAGCTAGTACTAGATAATACAGAAATTGAACAAATATCTTCGTACAAATACCTTGGAGCATGTATCACAGAAGATACTGATCAGACAAAAGAAATAAGATGCCGCATTGAAAATTGCTCGGTCAACTTTTAATAGAATGAGAAAACTTTTTTGTAATCGCGATATCAATATATCGCTCCGGATAAGAATGCTTCGATGTTATGTTTTCTCTACCCTTTTGTATCGAGTTTAAATCTTGGACACTTAAAAAAATCCAACATTAAAAACCTAGAAGCATGCGAAATGTGGTGTTACCGACGTATTTTGAAAATATCATGGATGGATCGCAAAACAAACGAAACAAGTTCTCGAACAACTAGGAAAACAATGCGAAGTTTTACAATTCCATAAAAATCAGGAAATTGGATACTTGGGGCACATCATGAGAGATGAAAAGTACGAACTACTAAGGAATATAATGCAGGGTAAAATCAAAGGTAAAGAAGCGTAGGAAGACTACAATCTCGTGGCTACGCAATCTCCGTGAATGGTTTGGATGCAGATTATAATTGCCAGAATGATTCCAATCTCCGATAGGAGTGGAACTTGAAGAAGAAGAAGAAGCTGTTTAAAACGCGAGGTCTCAAAGATAAAGCAAAATAGATTTAGGGCACAACGACACTGGTTTGTCAAGCGATAATATGCTATTATTATGTACCTATCGACGCATCCTTTAAAAACTCACACAACTAACACTTCAAACCAGTAGCGTTGCGCGCTAGCTGCCTTTTACTTTATCTTCAATACTTCGCGTTTTTAACAGCTGGCAACCATAATTTACGACCATTTTTTCTTTGCTCTGTAATAAAGATATGAGTTTGATTAACCTTTGATTTTGGTGTTTGATTAAGGCCCTGCAAAATAGTTGGAAGAGTCCATTTACGCCACCAAGGAAGGCCATTATACAACATAATTTTTTTCAATTTTATTTGAACTATAACAAGGATAATAGCTAACAGCTGTTTTATGTAATTCTTAAATAATATTTTTTTATTTATTTGAATCATCTATAGATTCACCAGGTGTTTATTAAGATTATACGTGTAATTAAAATAATACATAAATAATAAAATTACTCTATTCAATTTTAAAAATATAGAATTTAAAAATACAGAATTGAAGCTTCGCGCTAGTCTACCGTATCTTCGACTGTATCACTTTTTGCTTTGGGCCATTGGTCATATAGCCAGAATTCGACAATTTTTTGAGCGATTTAGTATAGTTCAGTACAATATTTTCTCAAAACATTGAATAGCTGATGATACACACTCATCATTAGCAGTCATTGTTCACAAATGATGCAACAGTGTTAACTGTATTGAATAACCTGTAGAAAATTCTGAGAATCTTCTCAGAATATATCTAGTCATATTCTCTTTTGAGCTTATCGTTACTGCTTTGTAGTCTTCACCAAACATACTCTCAAAAAAGATAATTGAAGACACGAGTGGATGAAGGTGCTATGTAACATTTTTCTAAAAACGGTTTTTTTTGTATGGATGAAGGTATTATGTACCTGTTTATCACGTGGCCACATTAGAATTCTAAGATTCGTAACAGAAGTCTAGGTTTTTTAAAGGATGAAGGAGTTATGTTACATTATTTTCCAGTGAATAATGGAAGAAGGTGTTATAGGCACAAAATACCTTCATCCACATTCATGTAATATTTTGTATACCTTCGTCATATGAATGATGGTGTTAAGTGACACACATAACCCCTTCATCCACTCACTGGCCATTTTGTTTTACTTGGTGAGTTGGTATTGCGCGCACGTGTTCTGTGTCATTATTACAGTTTTTTGCAGTAATATCATAATATTAATGCTAGTTAACATTTATAATGAGTTCCAGAGGTAAACAAATGTTAAAACTAGTGCAGGAACAAATAAACTGTGAACAAAATTTGCCAAATGATGAAAATGAATTCACAGCAAGTTCTAACCTCAACATTGAAATTTCAAATGTAACAGGTAAGTGCAATCCTGTTGTTATGAAATAATTAAGTTTTATTATATTTTGGGCAATAGGTATTTAGATCATAATATTTATATAAAAGTGTAAATGAGCTGGTTGAAATACATAACCCAACTATCATCTGTTATAAATATTTACACTTGATTGCTCCGGGGATTCCCCTATCTTTTCAAAAGTAATTTTTAAACAATAATAATTAGGAAGAATTAAAATATAAGTATAAGTAAATAGCTGTTTTTATTTTCAGATTTGGAGGGGACCCAACCATTCTTGTCAGACAGCAGTGGTGATGCTGAATACTTTCCGAGTAATGAACGAAGCAGTTCTTCAGGAACTAGTGTCACGGAGGACGAAGAAAGAGCGGACCACAGTCATGTAAAAAACCTTGTTGGAGGTACATTCATTTCTGGAGACAAAGAAGGAAGCGGGATTATTCAAAAGCCTATAATTAATCCTTCTAACGGGTCTAACGAGGTTGACCAAGAAAATGAAAAACAAAGAAAGCAAAAGATTTTTTCAACGACAGCAAAAGTTTCCAAAAAACGAAAACGAGATCCAAATACGTGGAAGAAACGCAAAGCAGCTTTAGATAGAGCAAAAGGTGAAGAATATTTGTCTTACAAAAACATTCCCGTTCCAAGAAAGGAGCCAGAAAAAGGTATTCTTTGTAGACAAGGCTGTAGATTTTCTTGTAGCACTAAATTTTCAGCAGATGACAGGAAGGCATTTTTGGATGAATTTCATAGACTTGATATTAATGCAAAAAATGCTTTACTATTTAAATCAATCATTAAAAAACCAGTGTTGAGGGAAAGAAAAGATGCTGTTAAACATAAAACTGCGTCATATACGTATAACGTTACAAAAAATGGAATTACCGTAAAGGTGTGCAAAGAAGCGTTATGCGCTCTATACCAAATAGGCAGAAAAAAACTTGATGTTATAAAGAATCGTATAAATAGTGGTGTAGCAGCACCTCCTCCAGATCGCAGAGGTAAGCACTCCAATAGGCCACACAAAATAGGCCAAGATGTTAGGGATTTTGTGATAGAGCACATAAATAAATTTCCTGTAGAAGAGTCGCACTATTCCAGAAATAGAAATCCTCATAAAAAATATCTTTCTCCCCTACTAAATGTGAGCAAAATGTATGAGTTCTATCTTGAGGAATGTAATCTGGCACAACTTCCTGGAAAATTTAGAATTAAAAAATGTTCATATTCCAACATTTTTTCGCGAGAGTTTAATTTATCATTTGGGTATCCGAAAAGTGATACGTGTAGTATCTGTGATGGAGGTGAATCTAACGATGGACATAAAGAAAACTACACAGCATCAACTAAAGCGCTCAAAGTTGACAAGGAAAAAGCAAAAGATTCAGACAACTTGGTCTATATTACAATCGATATGCAACAAACAATGCCACTGCCAAAAATAACAACGTCCAAAGCATTTTACCTTAGGCAAATGTGGTTTTATAATTTTGGGGTGCATATTACTACAAAAGGCCTAGACAAAGCATGTTTTTGTACCTGGACCGAAGATCTTGCAAACAGAGGAAGTGCAGAAATATGCAGTTCTCTACTCAGATATATTGAAGTCGACGAAAGCATCACCAAAAAGGATTATCTGATCATCTGGTCCGATTCATGTGCGGGCCAGAACAAGAACTTCCACATGATTTGCCTTTATCAGTATCTTATTTTGAAGGGATACTTCCGTTGTATTGACCACAAGTTTCCTGAGGTTGGCCATACTTACTTAGATTGTGACAGAGACTTCGGAAGAATAGAGAAGGTTTTACGAAAACACGACACGGTATATGTACCAGATACGTACCGGGAAATAATTTCAAAGGCTAGCCGAAAAAATCAAGTCATCGACATGGCTCAACACTTTAGAAGGATTGCTGATCTACCGCAAAAACTTAATCTTACTAACAGAAAAAAGGACGAACTAAATGAAACAGTCAGATTTAGAGACGGTATTAAATGGATAAGAGTGGAAGAGTATGGTTCCTATTTGTATAAAGAATCATATGACGAAACAGTTCCTTTTAGAAAAGTAAATATTCTTCAAAATAAGAATAGAACAGCAGCGCCAGAGAATATTGAAATCGAAAGAATTCGGAGAAATATGGAACTATCTCTGAAGAAAAAAGAAAAAATCTCCAAGAACAGCTTAAGTTTGTAAAACCAGAATATCGATATTTCTATGAACCAATCTTAGAAAAAAAATAATGTATTACGTTATATTACTGTTATTACCTTATATTAAGCAATAACATCTTGTTAGCTGATTAGATAAGTTTTTCTTTAATACATGATTCTTCCATAAAACAGTAGTTGTTTTAATTTCTTTAGAATTATACAGTGGATGAAGGTGTTATGTACTGTTTTTTTCAAATTTTGGTAAGACACATTTTTTTTGTTGATATTTTTTTCCGTGAATAACATATTCCATATACTAGTAACGACATAGAAAAGTATTTTACCAATAAAAAGTGAATGTGGAGAAAAGTTTACAATGAAAAACTATTAACCTTAATTTTCTCAAAATCTAAATTTTGTAACATAGCACCTTCATCCACTCGTGTCTTCAATTATTTAGAATTTTTTGAATAAGCTCAGCAAATATTTACCAATTCATTCAGGTGATACTTCGCCCATAAAGTCATTGATGTGATTTTGTAATAATTGAATATTGGTGGACAAAATACGATTAATCAAAAATTTAGCTCCAAAAAGGATTTACTCCCAATTCTCCTTGTATGAGAGTCTAAAATTGATATCGTCTATCATAATTATTATCATTGCACATATTACTGCGTATCCTCATTGGGAACAACTTTTTACAATAAAATTATTGTTGATACTTCCCTTAGACTTGAACTTATTTAGTATTTTCATAACATGGAATGATTCATATTTCTATTGGGATTTGGGATGTATACTGTTAAAAATACTAGCAATTTCTCTGTGCGTTCTATATTTAAAAAATGTACTTGTATTTTAATAAGGACATATTTTTAATGTATATTGTAAAATACTAAGCGTTTTTGAACTACTAATAAAACTATTAACTTAATATATTTCTTAGATAATCTTTTCTTTCAGGATCCTTGGACTCCTGTTGTAAATAGTAACGGTACTTCTACAAATTCACCATGGACGAAGAGCAACGAGCCTGCAAATCCGTTTTTGTCCTAACACTATGTCGATGGTTGTAAAATATCCGTTGGTCAGTATATCTATAACCTTACTAATGTTTTTATTATGTTTATATTTTCGATAATCAAAAATTGTACTGAGTTTTTTTTGGATATATAATTTTTGCGCTGATTATTAATGTGTTTGTAAAACAGATTGGATGTACAAGATTGGAATATGTATTTGACTGAATAGTGGTCTTTGGTACGGTTGTAAATTCGTCCGGTGGTTTGGCCTATATAACTTGTGAAACAATCAGAATAAAAAATGGCATTCTATGTGTAGTTTTTAAATGAAATAATATACTGTTCAATAAGTTTTGCGGTTCGATAAGAAAAACACATTTTTATGGATTGAAATTAACTTTATTATTCAGTATAGTCTCCCTGAAGATCAATACATTTATTCAAATGAGATTCCAATTTATAAATCCCAATACACAAACAAACACACGAACTCGTTTCGGATCCAAAGAACCAGGTTCACACTAATCTTTAGCCTCTTATATTGATTCAGAATTAAGGTGATAGACCTAAGTCTCATCTTCTTCTTCAGGTGCCATCTCCGCTACGGAGGTTGGCAATTATCATATATATTTTAATTTTTGAGGCAGTAGCTCTAAATAGTTATTTTGAGCTGCTTTCTCTCAGATTCTTAAGCCATGAAATTCGTCTTCTTCCGATGCTTCTTCTGCCATCTATCTTTCATTGCATTATGAGTCGCAGGATGCCATATTTCTCGCCCCACATCACATGTCCGAGATACTGTAGCTTTCTTTATTTAATTGGAAGTTCAACTTCCTTCTCTTTACCTATTCTTCTCAGTACTTCATTGTTCGTAACTCTATCTACCCAGGGAACGCTCATAATTCCTCTATAGGTCTACATTTACGAATGCGTTAAGTCGTCTCATTGTGTCTAGATTTAACGTCAATGATTCCACTCCATAGTATAGTACATTGTATACGTCAATCTTTGCCACATAGGACCTTTTTCATTTTCATAAAATTAGAATGTGCTTTTTCGATTCTGACTTTGATTTCTGCAGTGTAGTCATTATTTTCTGTTATAAGTGTTCCTAGGTAAGTATACTTTTTTACTCTTTCGATCTGCTGGCCCTCTACTATAAAGATTTCGTTAGTATTATGGTTGTTTTTACATCAAGTCTCAGGAATAGTGATTAATTGACGTACAAAATCCGCATTTTCCTTTCGAAAACGCTCTAAATTTTGCTGAGTTGAGCTGATTTTTTTTTTCGACTGTGTTCCATTGTGAACACAGTTTACTGAAACCCAATACCTACTTTAGTCAAAATATTGCTTACACTACCCAATGAGATGCTTAGGGATTCTTCTAAATCTCTGTCAGTTAGTCGACAATTTTCCAATACGATATCTTGTATTTTTCTTCGATTTTTGGTGTTGTTGCTGTTTTTAGTCGTCCTTGACGTGGATCATCTTCAAGGATTGTTCGACCACATTTAAATTGAGAAACCCATTTTTCTACTGTATTAATTGAAGCGAATTCATTAGCTGTTTGTCCGTTTTAAAACTTTACTGTAGGTTTTTGTACTATGTAAATCTACTAATTTCATTCACCTAGACATATTTTATATCTTATATTATATTTAAAAAATAATCTTTAATATTTAAAAAAAATCTTTAATTTAAGAATATTTAAAATAATCTCATTCTTATCCGTAAATTGGTGATTCGCGTTATGCTAGATGCGAAGACAGGGTCTGTTCCTCTTTGTTTTTGTTGATTGGTCTTTGACAGGTCAAATTGGTGTGCAAGATATGACATATGACACATTAGTTGGCCATTACTCGCTTTAAAAACCTTTCAGTTGTTCCTATTTATGGGATTTATTTCACTGATGAATGATTGACTATAATACTATCTTTATTTTATTTTCAGGTATAGAGGCAGGTATTACTATCACATTCAACAAACCTATTGGTGCGATACATGCTAGTTGCTTTAAAATCTTTATTACAGGAGAATTCTTATACAATTTGAATGTTTCGAAATATCTTTATATATTTTTATAACAAAAACTGCTTTTGCTTAAAAAAATATGTTATATTTATGTATGTTTCTTTTTCTTTGTAATCGACAAGTTGCTCATTTTACCCTGTACATTGGTTGGCACGCTAAAACAAGTTTTTATTATAAACATATCCAATAAATTATGTTAAAATGCGATTTCTTGCTTACTGTGCTCAATTCTTTACTCGGTGGTTTATATAAAATGATGACTTGATATGCAATCTTTCAAAACATCTAATGAGCAGTTTTTTTGGCATACCGTAGCATACTTAGGTAAAAATACAGCCTGATTTAAATCTACAAATGATAGTTGATAAATGATTATCAACCAAATATCAATTAAATATCTGTAATAGGACGCTTATTACGTTTATATTTTTTACATAAACATGCGGAAAGAAGAATGTAACCGCTAATTGTAACCGCTAAACGGATAAATGACCAAAATTATTGACACAAAATGACTAGGATTTTAGATGATTGTAAAATATCAAGTAGCTGTCATTTGTCATGTGCCTGTCAGATGGCTGTCAATTGTCTGAATGAAAATAAAGAAATGTAGTACTTACTTATACTGAGTTATAGAATCAAACGTTGTATAATGAAACCACCGAGTTAGGAATCAAATTAGACTGAAGTTTGTAAAAGACAGAAGGAATGATATTAAGTCAGAAACCTCAATAATAAAGTTGTCAATTAAAAAAACGTAATACATATTAACTATATAATAACAACTCAAAATGATTATGCATCCATTCATATTTATTGAGCTTTCTGCTAATATTACAATATTCAAAGTTAATTAGCGAAACAGTTGCTTTACATTTTGTGCATCTACACATTTTGTTTTCGTCACGTTTGTATCACCGAACTGAAAATATGTAAACAGGAGAGAAAATATTTTATTTATTGTTATCACTTAAGGTTTCGTTTATACAGGAAGTTCAATTAAAGCAGAGAAAGTCGGTATCTTGGTCGTAATGAGAAGTTTTTGTTCTGTTTAGTTACAGGTTGTGGTGTTATTGGAAGATTGGGTTATGGAAGATTGAATTAAGAGCCTAGAACGGTTGAAACGGAAGAACATGTTTATATACTTATTTTTTTATAGTTCTTTTTGTTTTTCTTCCTTTATCTTCTTTTCTTTCTATTAAATCAGTTTCCAGATAGATACATGCCGTTCAAAGATGTTTTTTAACAGCCTGTAAGTAAAGAAGTAAAGCATATTTTGAAGTAAACATTGGGAAATGTCAATTTGACCATAATACGCTGATTTGAGGTATACTTAGATATTTGACGTCATCACAGGCGCGGTGACGTCATCACAATGAAAAAGAATCTTTAGTAAAAAAAATGCACCATAAAATGATTCTGATATATATTTTTTTCATTTTGGACCTCACAGCGCCTGTGATAGTATTTAGATCTAACTCAAATCATAGTATTGTAGATCCAGTTGTGATTTTCCAAATTTTAGTTACATATATTCATTACTTTCTCAGTTACAGACTTTTCAAATCATCTTGGAACACTCAAATTTTATATCAATTTTTGTCATCCACACTTACTTATTATTTTGTTTTCGTCCCTTATTTAGACTGTAAGATCTGTTCAGACATTCTGTCATGTCACATGGTAGTTGCTATATCTACGCTGACCTTAAAGGGAGGGAGTAGTTGTTTGCATTTAAAAAAAAATTTTTTCTCGATAGTATAACTCTTCAAGAGTATCCAGTTAAAAAATTTCAGAGTGATCGGAGCAAAATTGATGTAATTATAAGCATTTAAACATCAGTGCCACAACCCGCCATAAATGGTAAATATCGGTTTCTCGGCGCTTGCGCGGTGAGAACGTCTAGCAGCTCTTTTGTGTGCGCAGTCATAATTTTTACCGGCAAATAAGTTATCTTTATAAAACGCGTTTGTTACTAAGACGTGTTTATACTTAGTATATAATTCACGCATATAAGCTAAGAGTTTGCACACATTCGTTTTATTTTTATCTCAGTTATCATTGCAATTTGGCTATTATTATTATTAAAATTCTACAAAAAAGTTAACAGAGAAAGTAGAAAAAGTTCTTCTGATTAGTGTAGATAAAAAAAAACGGATAACCATAAATAAACGTCAAAGTAATGTTGATTCATGAAGCGCTTCTGCGAAAAAATAAAAGTTGGTACTGTTGCAGACGCTAGAGAGGATAAATATTATCGAATCATAGATTTTTTGCTAGTGTTAAATTAATTTCTTCTTTAGTGAAAAATGTGATGGACAAATTAATTTTAAATCTTGTAAAACGGAACGTCTGTGAGAATTGTAAGTCGCGTAGGTATGTTCCGTCTACTGAAACAATCAAGTATGGCGGGTATGAAATAAATAATCGATTTACGTTTTTAATGCGAACCTTGGGTTTAGGATTAGCTGGTTGTGATAAATTCTGTGGTCTTATGGATTTGGCAAGACATTTCGTAACAAAAACAACCTACAGTTCATATGTGCAAAAAAGTACAGAAGTACAAAAAATGTTGCGACTAGAATTTGTCTTTGGCTATAAAAGAGATGAAAATAGAATCATGTAAAGCGAATAATGTATAAGACACATCAGGAAACTCGTCACAACAATCAAAACAATCAGGAACTTGGACGAGGATATTCTTCGTTATATGGAGTAGCTTCATTGTTCAGTTATTACACAGGAAAAGTTTTAGATATTTGTGTGAAAAGTGCCTTTTGTCACGACTGTCACTAAGACGGAAAAAAATCTAGGTGGTAAAATGAAACTAACATGAAAAATGATAGATAAATTAACTGTCTATTATGGTCTTGCCGTTCGACGAAACCATCATTCAGTGGAAAAAATGAAAAATGCTGTTTGATCTACGGATTACCACTACAGCTTGACGGACAAGAATCCGCAACACCACTAATGCCCGAAAAAAAAAAAAAAAATGGTG